AAACTGCAGCAGTGGCCAGGCTGTCTCGTTTGGGTGAAACGGAGACACGTGCTTGGAACAGAAATGAAACCCACATTGTGTCCCTGGGGGTAATGCAGGAGACCAGGAGTCAGGCCCGGTTTCTATTCCCAGCTGTACCCTTGACCATGTGATCCTTAGTGACACATATCACCTCACTAGCTATTTATCCAGCAGCGGGTCTATTTCTCCAGTCACTGATGACTGCGCCATGGCTTGTAGGCTAGTTCTTAATGCCAACTTCAAGAGAAACATTTCTATTACAGATTGAACCTCTCTGATCTGGCACCCTCGGGACCTGACCGGTGTCAAACTAGAGAATTTGCTGACCCACAGGAGGTCGATATTGTCTAGCAGCATTGCTAACACTGCCACTGCCTACTGCACTCTTAGAAGACATTTAGGGGTATATTAGAGCGAAACAGCACAGAACACTGAGTCAGGACTGCGGGCTTTAAACAAACTCTATGGGACTGCGGGAAACTTGGCCACATCCATAATAAGTGGACACCTGGTTAACTCACATCACGCCAGACCACGGATGGTGATGAACTAGAGAGGTTCAACCTGTATCAGTCTTCTGAACCATTCTGTGCTTTTCTGGTTGCCATCCTCCCTTGAAGAGCTCTAGCCTACACAGAGCAGCATAGGGCACATTTTATGTTGGCCCAATTTCTGCTGTAAGAATCTGAAAGGATTATGCAGCATCTAACCCACTCCCAGATTCCTAAGAGCTCTTCTTTGCATTTTGGGCACCCATCCTTGCACAGTGCCCCATCCGCGCCCTAACTCACCTGATGTACTCCTCACAGATCTCTCGGAAGTGGTCACGCTCGGGATCACACCGCAGGTCGTCATACAGCTTATTCAGGAGAATGGACGCAATCATTTGGGTGTTCTCTGTTAAGGGCAGGCAGCCTGGCAGCTCGGGAACCTGGCCTACAACTTTCAATATCTTTTTTAGACCTGGGACAGAGAATTAACAGGGCTTTTAGAGAGGACAGGTCTGTGCCACATTCCCATACGGTGCAGTGGGCATTCTCCTGCACCAAACTAGGCCACTTGCAATATGTGTGTCATCTGGCCTGTAAATTAATTTAATATGACCTTGCTAACCCGCTCTGAGAAACAAGTAAGCAATTAATTTACTGATGAGAGTAAGATCTCCCATGTCAAAGTTTGCAGAATTCTGTTGAACAGTCATAAAATGTACAGTCGTACTAATATTATCGCTTCTGCAGGACTTGTTCATCAACTAGATCTTTCCTTTAATTAAAGATGCACAACACCTGCTGATTTCAGTGGCATGAAGGCCTGGAAATGAGGAATAGGGGTTTGAATATTAGAGGAGATTCTGGATTAAACAAATATCTTAATTCAACAAATACTGGGCAAATATCTTCATTCAGTAGAAGATGTGAGGGTTGAAGGCTTTCCATGAAGCCCAGCTCAACCCCGAAAACGCAGTATTAAAAACAAAAGCTCTTCTGTTTTGAATTCCATCCAGACTTTGGAAAGTCTCACCACGTCAATTACTTTTCTAGATAGGAGGGTTGCTACGAGAGGATGTCTGGAAGAGTTTTGCCATGCATGTCCCATTCCAGCTTAGGCCTGGGGAAAGGGCATTCACCAGTGTCAATGACGAAGATGGTTCTAGAGTTGTCGTGGAGCTTCAGATCCTTTCTCGGTATGTTCTTGCTGAGCAGGTTGAGAGCCTGGTCCCGACCTTGCCCAGACACCTTCTTATTGACCAGCATGTCCAGCAGGTGCACTGTGATCATCTTCAAATCCTTCTTGGTGTCTGCATCAGAGACAAGGCGGTGGCAGAAGGTTAGAGGAAGAGGCGCTTTGAAAGCTGATTACCCTACCGAAGACCACTTTTGAACGGCTATTAGAATGTACATGGGGGCTGTGTTCTAGCCAATGTCTCTGTTTCATAGAAGTGAGGCCAGGCAAAATATCCACCAAGCCACCGGGTCGGACCTGCAGAGGCAGCAGGAAGCCCCAGGCAGACTCCCCTGCTTGTCCCACAGCCCCTCGTGCCGAGCAGAAACGTGGCTGTAGGGCTCCATTTCTGTTTCAAAACTGGAGGGAGGGGGGAGTTTCAGGAACCGCCCTGACCCCAGCACAATCCCATTGGCCTGTTTCCAGCCAGAAACCAGCCCAAGGGAGCTGCTTGTTGAAATAACAGGCGGCCAAGAAGAATCACGCCCCCTCTTCTCAGCTCAGTTATTCATTGAAGCACAAGGCTAGGCAAGCAGGCAGGTTGGCTGGGAAATGTTTTAAGCTCTGCAAGTCTTAGCTTGGCAGGCAGGCAGGCAGGTTTGCATGCTGGCTGGTAAGTCTCCTGGCCACAGCCTGCCTCTGGCACCCCAGTCCTTCTCTGCCACAACCCTCTGCCCCCGCTGGGTCACATCCCAAACCCCTGCACTCCAGTCCCCTGCCCTAGGTCACAATCGCCTACTTCTCCCAAACTCCATCCCAGATCCCACACTCCCTCCTGTACCCCAGTCCCTTACCCCAAGCTCCCTTCTGCACCCAACCTCCATCCCAGACCTCACATCTCCTCCATTAGTATCCTAGATGAGTGCGTCCCTTGACCACTTTCCAAAATCTTGGAGCAGCCCCCCAAGTTATTGCCCACCCCAATATAAGCCCAGAAAAGCATTATGGTTGGGTAGGCTAGCTATGGTTCTGGGACCTGTGGGTTTGGTAAGTAAAGGTGTTTCTAACAGTGCTTGTTGCTGGGTACTAAGTAGCCTCGACACTTTAAGAACAGCCCAACAGGATCAGACCAAACGTGCATCTTGTCTTCTGACAGTGGCCAGTACCAGGTTCTCCAGGGGGAATGAACAGAAGTGATCCCACCCCTGTGACCCATTCCCAGCCTCTAACAAACAGAGGCTAGGGACACCGTTCCTACCTAGCTAATAGCCAATGATGGACCCAACCTCCATAAATTTAGGTAGTTCTTTTTTGAACCCTGTTAAAGTCCTGGCTTTCACAACATCCTCTGGCAAGGAGTTCCACAGGTTGACTGTGCGTTGCATGAAGAAATACTTTCTTTTGTTTGTTTTAAACCTGCTGCCTATTAATTTCATTTGGTGACCCCTAATGGGAGCAAGTAAATAAGTTTTCCTTATTAACTTTCTCCAGACCTGTCATGATTTTACATCAGCTGTTTGCAAATCCACTCACAGGCAACAAGAAGCCAAATTTGTAGGTTCTACTGTTCAGAGCAATGGGACCCTTAGGTCTTTTCACATCTCTGCCAACATTCAGTGGTTACATGTAATTCAATTACCCAGCACCACAGCATCTTCTTTTCCATGTTGCTCCTCCTTTCCTTCCCCTGATAAGGAGTCTGTAATGGCCTGTAGGAGGTTGCAAACAGCCATAGAGATTTCTTCATTATCCACTGCCATCCACATGCACATTTTATCAATTCCCAGGAGGTGAAGGATAGCAGTAGCCTGCCCAGATAAAAATACAGGAATCAGTGTTATAGTTCACCTGATTCTGTAGGAAGCAATTTTCTTTTCACACCCATTAAAATGGCATGCTTGGCCAGGGCTATTAAATAACAGCTGAATATTGAATTTGTCCGGTAAACGCACAGGAAATGGTTTTGCACCTCATAAGAACAGCCTCTCTGGGTCAGATCAAAGGTCCACCTAGTCCACTAGCCTGTCTTCCCACAGTGGCCACTGCCAGGTGCCCCAGAAGTAATCAATATAACAGGGAATCAAGAGATCCCTCCCTGTGACCCACTCCCAGCTTCTGGCAAACAGAGTATAGGGCAGTGGTGGCCAATACATCTGTTAGTCTATAAGGGTACGTCTAAACTACATGCCTCCGTCGACGGAGGAATGTAGATTAGACAGATCGGCAGAGGGAAATGAAGCCGCGATTAAAATAATCGCGGCTTCATTTAAATGTAAATGGCTGCCCCGCTCTGCCGATCAGCTGTTTGCCTCGTGAAACCAGGTTTACCTGTGCCGATCAAGAAAGGCTTCTTTGTCGACGTGGCGCGTCCAGACTGCCCCGATCTGCCGACAAACAGCTGATCGGCAGAG